TCTTTCTGATGATGTAACAGTTGATGCGCAGCCATCATTTCAGAAGTCCATATTAACCCGGAATGACAGTTCTATTGTTTATTTCTGACCTTACTTTGGAGAATGACCCTGTTTTCATTTCACTGCGATGACAATAAGAAAATACTGCAATCCAAAAGGGATGAATATACCCACAAGGGATGTGTAGTATATATAACCTTGAAGATATGTTTGATTACACTAAACAAAAGGTTTCCTTTTAGTGTGATACTATTCTGATGGTATGATGAATGTGTATGTTTCTTTATTAACGTCCGATTGCCGTTATCATCATGTCATATTTTGGAGACGTTATATTTGATGGTCTTATCTATGGATTTTAAAGCCATAGTGTTTCCTTCTCAATAATGAGTTTTGTATATAGCTGTGTTCCATACGTCTTTGTTTCGCCCTTGTTTCGTAGTTTTGGAATATTTTCTAATTAAATATAATCTTCTCAGCAACTCCACCTGCTCCTGCTTCTCAACCTGCCCCTCAAACTGCCCCTCAACCTGCTTCTCCACCTGCAAATAATTCAAGCGGAGAAACCGGTGGTAATGATGATGCAGGTGATGACGGAGGTGATGACGGAGGTGATGATGACGGAGGTGATGACGGTGGAGATGACGGTGGCGATGACGGAGGTGATGACGGTGGAGACGACGGAGGTGATGACTTTGGAGATGAAGGAGGGGATGACGGTGGAGATGACGGAGGTGATGACGGAGGTGATGACGGTGGAGATGACGGAGGTGATAATGGCAGTGACTAGTGATCAAATGCAATAGACATATTGCTGTAAAACGTGGCGGACTCGGGTTTCATGAAGACTGGCTTCCTAGAAAACAAGTTGTTCAGAGTGATTTGATCTGATGGACATCATTAAACACGACAAATCTCAAGTGTGCTGTTATGTATGAAACAGCGCATACTCTGCACAACAGTGCATATTTCTACTGTTTACAAACACATGCTTCTGTTTGTTTAGAATTCGTTCCTCTCTTCGTCGTGGTCGTCAAATTACAATAAACAACTGACCGTCTTCTTTGCTTTGTGCACTTTGTTTAATTAGAAGGTTTGCCTGAAACGTGTTATGAACAGGGTCCCGATCCACAAATCGTTTATAGCGCTACGACATTTGTAAGCCTATGATAAACTACTGAATTTAGGCTTATCGTTACGAATTCTTTGTGGCAGTGTTTGCCCTTAACACTAAAAAGCTGCAGGCACTAAGGACCCAGAACCATAAAAAGTTGTGCTTCCTGATCAGAATGTGCAGGCCCTATATTTTAATATGGAAATAAGACTCTTAGTTATTGGGTATGCAGAAAACAAAAGCTGTGGCTCCGAGTGGTTTTCTGTCGCCTTCGGTCCAACAGACGGACGTTGATTTCGAACGCTGCTTTGTGGATCAGGACCCTGGTTTACATGAAAGAGTGAATGAGTGTGGATATACACCGCTTTGAGCAATATTCCATCAGTGACACCAGCTGTTTGAAATCTTATTAAATAATGGTGTCTGGTGAGGCACGAACTGGGAAGCAGAGAAACGCAAACAAGCAAGTAACACCGAAGGGGTCGTTGTTGATACGGGTACTACAGATATGTACCCAAGGTACGTTTTGTACGCGGAAGTGTACGCTGAACAAAGACAGCATGCATAACGTGCCCGGTACCCTAAACGGAAGACGAGTCTACATTGTACTGAGTGTAATCCCAAATATATCATGTAATTTTGTTATATTTGATCATTTTTTAAATAGGATCACAAGTGTATCGCGTTTATTTAGCTTCCATTCGCATCATTACAAGTGACACTGTGCATCGTGCAATATTTGTCACTGTGTGTTTTGTTTAAGTTTATAACACAATCCAATGCATCTTATACAATAGTATGACAGTTCGGTCTCGTCCCTAGATAAGTTTCTGTATTCCGATTTTGGTAGGGTACGTTTCTCTGTACAGGGTACAGTAGTACCCGCGCCGAAAACGACCCCTTTAACCCAAGTAACTGTATAATTATGATGTCCAGCTTTGGAAAAAGGCTGAATCTTAAGTGACATATTGGCGTGGCCCGCTCCTCTTAGCACCGTCGATCTTGTAGTGTCTATGAGTTCTATCCATTATAGATCAAAATATATACTCATGGAAACTAATAAGGGAACACATGTAAGTACATGTGCTCCTTTATTCTTTTCCAGGTTTCTTCACAAGGTATATATTGCACTGTGAGTGAAATTCTGAAAATATGTAAAGGAACACTTATACTTTCATGTGTTACATTATTCGTTTCTATGAGTATATCACGCTTGATAAGCACTTAATGTTCTCGGTGGAATTTCAACTGAGAAATTCAACACGATACACAACTGTTGATAGGTATCATTGTCATCTTATCCTTCAGAATCAGTATTCTTTTAGGCACAAGCATAAAGCATTACAAAGGTGGAATGGGCATATGGTTACAAAATATATTTTTAAGTAGTCATCAATAAACGAAAGTATGTTTACAACCTGTTGCAAGGATGAGTGATGGTTAGATAGATATTTAATATCAGTTCTTTCAAATTAATGTTCATTACAGAAAACACAAACTCGGTATTTTTTGGGCCCTCTTTTCACTTCTAATTGGTTTTGCATAAAGATTCAGAGAGACAAATAACTCTCCACAAGGCTTTATGGCAAAAAGGATGATTTCTACTTTCCAATAATCGATCAATATTCCAACAACACCAGCCTTTGGTGTTTACATTTCAGAACTTTTGGGGTACAATCGAGCTTGTTCTTTTTATCAAAATTTCAAAGAGCGTCTTGCCACCCTTGTTCCCTATTTTGACTTGCAGGTGAACAATTGACGAGACTTGGCATATGTTTATGACGGGTGCCACCAGTGGGGTCGGAAACGCTCACCTTTTCGAGAAGATCTTGTATCATCACTATTTCAAGTTATATGGGAGACATGTGGAGGAAAAGTCCAAATTTGATGCATCAGTGACACAAATGATGTCCAATGCAATTCATCGTATCGCATGGTGATAGTCACTGGTTAAGACTTGTTTGTATACAAACAACATCGTACAGCTGTAATACTGCTGAAACAAATGTATACTCATGACATAGTCACAATTTTGCAATCGACTCTGCTTTTAGCAGAGATTTCTTAGGGATGTGGGAGGGTTTTGTCGCTTCTATTTAAATGCTCTCTGCACATAACACGACCTTCGAACAGCAATATTTAATAAAGTGCTCATTTTATTTTAAAATATTGTAAAATTTCAATATGCACTTGCTGATTATATATAGCACTTTGTCAGACTATAATGGGCACAAATTGAAATGTTCACGTGACCTGTATCCAGGTATACCTGAGTACTGTAAACACGATTCAAGCAGGGTAAACTGAATTTGAAACGGAACTAACCCTACTCACTTAATACCTGGCCTTGTATGTGGCAATATCTGAAATATTGCCCTGTGCTCTTTGATGAAACAATTAAAGGACGTTTTAAGTGGGAACAACTACAATTTTTCCATGTAGGGCCGACAAACCTTGGATGACAGGAACAGAACAGGTTTATTCCAATTCCGTTTTCACCCTTTTATTTTGTTCATTCTAGTAGTAGAAGCATCAAACACTCAACCGACAGTGGAAGTCAGTTAGCAGGTGTCTTTTCCCCTTTAGGTTATTGTTGGTAAAGCTTTGGTACTATCCATAATCATCTTAAAGTTTTAATCCCAATTGTTGGGAGGTTGCTCACGAAACTTTGGTCCATAAAAGACGCACTTGTCTTGGTATAACTTACGAAGAGTGTTATTGTCAATGATACAGATGTCACCTTTCATTACATGGCATACAGTTTGGTAACAGGTATGTGAGTCTTCGCAGCCACAAGTAGTGGAATTTACATCATGAACTGCCAAGTCCACGGTCTCCAACACGTTCCTATTATTGGACATGACCTTTTAACCCATGGCTCCCAAATTGACCTGTGGCTCTAATTCATAAACTACACGTTGCCAAGCAATTGTCAGTTTTGACCAATGAAAACAATTATATTTGAAAAGGGAGAAACTGGGGAACGTCGGAATACGTGCTGACATGTGACCAACAACAAATTATACTATTTGTTTTCAAAGGCCTGTGTAAATAATAGAATATTTAACATCAAAATCTTTAAAATCGGTACTTTGTGTACTTTTAAATAAACAAAATATCATTAATTTTCAAATATATGTTAGTCGAAGGTCCAAATTCTAAATTCCATTCACATGAAAACCTCGTATGTAATTGAGCAGACCTTGTGATCACATCTCGCTGGTATCCTGCCTCTACATTGTGTATTCCAGATGAACAAGTAGTTTAGGTTACCCAGTTGACTCGTTCACTTGTAACAAGAACCGATTGACAGGACTCTTTACCTTTTCATAAAGCTCAAGCAGTTTTGACCATTTCTAATAGGAGATTGTTTAAGGAAGAGAATATGCCATTTTCAAAATAAACATATTATGTTTTCGTAAAGAAACGCTTAGACTGGCAGTAAGATTTAAACACACAAAATATATTCTGATTAATATGAAATGTATAGTTGGGCTTGTTACGAAAGTAAAAATTATTAAATTCAGGTATGCGTACATATCCTGTAAAATATGTTTTAGTATAGAAATATTATCAATATTCAGAAACTTATCATTTTCCATAGGTTATCCAATCCAGGTACATTTCTTAAAGCAGATTAAATTTGGACTAATACATACAGATCTTCGGTGCCTAAAACAACAGATATCATTTATAAAATATTCCTCTTTCCAAAAAATAGTACATTCCCTGGTGTCAACATGTCAAGTATGATCACAGATGTTGCCATGTTCGTGCAAAAAAGCATGATTAATATTAATATGTTGACATTGTAACGACACAAAGTACACGTGTTAACATGTATGTACTCCAACAATTGAATCGTCAGAGGTCACCTCCATTAAGACCACCTTATTCAAATTTACACATGTCAGAGAAACAGGTATATATACGTGTGGAATATTGAAACATTACACTTCCAGGAGTTGATTAGCTGCGTGAGTTTTGTCTATCGTAAGTATAACTTAGTTGTTTCATTATTTAGATTCTTCTGATGTTTGTTTGTGTTTCATTCAAAACCGCTTTGCTATGAGGGCATGAGTGAGTGGGTGAGTGACCTCAGACTGTACGTGCAAGAGGTGGTGTGCCAGAATTACTCTTGGACATCAGATTGTCACCAGACGTATATTGCTATCTTGGAGGAAAACGCTCAAATGCATTGTAACAGTACTGATCATGCGTCGTTTGCAACGTTTACATGACAAAGACATGGCTCGCACATATGAGAACGTTGTTACTTAAACGCTGATCGTTTCTCAGACTATTATCAGCAATTTGACAAATATAGCTGATGAGCAACCACTCTTTGTCAAAAATCTTCACCAAGGGGAGAGGACGATGACATTACGAAATCGGTTTTGTTGCAAACTACCACTCAGATATGAGATCTGTTACTTGCGTAAGATACTCTGAGAACTCGTCCTCCATGTGTCATCCTATGGCGTCATCGTTGGGATAATCGGTGTTGGGGTTATGTCATGTTTCCTGACGGATCGAAGTTCATTCTCGACTTTTATGACCAAGGGCCCGAGAAAAGCGTTTCGATAAGTCCTAATGAACGTTTCACGGTCGTTGTTGTCATATAACAAAACCAGTTTGATGGTGGGTTTGTAGTGTCATGGTGACGGTCACACTGACTGTGTGACCTGCCACTTTGTCTATGGATCATTGGCGCAATCCTGGCGTCATTTGCATTTCGTTTTGTTGAACGTTTCATTTTCTTGATGACAATACACGTACTCGTCATGCCCGGCTTGTATTCTAATGCCTCCAACAGCAACACAGCCATGTCATGGACAACATTCATCCCTGACCAGTCCAGTATATAGCAGGGGCGGTGGGGTAGCCTAATGGTTAAAGCGTTGGCTCGTCACGCCGAAGACCTGGGTTCGAATCCCCACATGGGCACAATGTGTGAAGCCCATTTCTGGTGTCCCCCGCCGTGATGTTGCTGGAATATTGCTAAAAGCGGCGTAAAACCAAACTCAGTCAGTCAGTCAGTATAAAGCACGGCTGTCATGTCATTGGCATCTCAGTGAACCTGATGCAGTTCTCTCTGATCAGTAGAACAACATGAGTCAAGTTGAAATTGGTACTCTCATCAGAAGCATGTCTCGACGAATTCTGGCATTCGTGAACAATAGAGGTGGTTTCACATTAAATTAGTGACATGGCTGCAAAAAATGCAAATTAATAAATTCACGCCCGACCTCTTTAATGACCTGCTCATTAAACCAACCATCACAGCCCAATATATATTTTTGCCTGCTGCTTAGAAGATCTGTTGATATTATTTCCTTGTGTCAATATCACATAGACCAGAAGAGTTATCTTGGTAATTTCAATAACCTTGCATTTTTGGCTCTGTACATTACCTGTTAATTTAGTTTGATATTTCATTATTGCGCTTACCTTTTGACAGGTCTCCCATGATTTTAGTATTTTCGTCCATCAGAGAGTACCATTATCTGTATGGACTAATGCGAAAAATAATTATGGATATTGTAAGTCGAACTGATTATCTGGTGCGCATGAGTCCAGGACAGACAGGCATTTGCTTAAACATATGTTTTGTTCCATATATTTCAGAAACGCCTGAAGAACAGTCACTATGAGGACCAAGACAATTATGATCATGGCGGTTGTGCTTGCATTTGCCTGCTTGTGGCAAATGGGTGACGCCCAGGATAGTGAGTTCAAATGAATAGTTTACATCTCTGAATAAAAGCGTTTGTGTGTAAATTGAAGGTGTATGATCCGTCGGTCGATGTCTCTACGACTATCAGATGTATCAGATTCCCAGATATGCACGATCTTGTCTTTTTCATTCATACACACAATACTACTTAAATACACTTGGGAAACTGCACAGTACAGCTGTCACATTAAATGGTTTAAAGGTGTCATGAAACGTGTCTTCAAATTGTATCTTTCTGATGATGTAACAGTTGATGCGCAGCCATCATTTCAGAAGTCCATATTAACCCGGAATGACAGTTCTATTGTTTATTTCTGACCTTACTTTGGAGAATGACCCTGTTTTCATTTCACTGCGATGACAATAAGAAAATACTGCAATGCAAAAGGGATGAATACTTTTGTTCATATACCCACAAGGGACGTGTAGTATATATAACCTTGAAGATATGTTTGATTACACTAAACAAAAGGTTTCCTTTTAGTGTTATTCTATTCTGATGGTATGATGAATTTGTATGTTTCTTTATTAACGTCCGATTGCCGTTATCATCATGTCATATTTTGGAGACGTTATATTTGATGGTCTTATCTATGGATTTAAAGTCATAGTGTTTCCTTCTCAATAATGAGTTTTGTATATAGCTGTGTTCTATACGTCAATTGGTCGCCTTTGTTTTGTAGTTTTGGAATATTTTCTAATTAAATATAATCTTCTCAGCAACTCCTCCTGCCCCTGCTCCTCAACCTGCCCCTCAACCTGCTTCTCCACCTGCAAATAATCCAAGCGGAGAAACGGTGGTAATGGTGATGACGGTGGAGATGACGGAGGTGATGACGGTGGAGATGACGGTGGAGATGACGGAGGTGATGACGGTGGAGATGACGGAGGTGATGACGGTGGAGATGACGGAGGTGATGACGGTGGAGATGACGGAGATGATAATGACAGTGACTAGTGATCAAATGCAATAGACATATTGCTGTAAAACGTGGCGGAATCGGGTTTCATGTAGACTGGCTTCCCTAGAAAACAAGTCGTTCAGAGTGATTTGATCTGATGGACATCAGTAAACACGACAAATCTCAAGTGTGCTGTTATGTATGAAACAGCGCATACTCTGCACAACAGTGCATATTTCTACTGTTTACAAACACATGCTTCTGTTTGTTTAGAATTCGTTCCTCTCTTCGTCGTGGTCGTCAAATTACAATAAACAACTGACCGTCTTCTTTGTTTTGTGCACTTTGTTTAATTAGAAGGTTTACCTGAAACGTGTTATGAACAGGGTCCCGATCCACAAATCGTTTATAGCGCTACGACATTTGTAAGCCTATGATAAACTACTGAATTTAGGCTTATCGTTACGAATCCTTTGTGGCAGTGTTTGCCCTTAACACTAAAAAGCTGCAGGCACTAAGGACCCAGAACCATAAAAAGTTGTGTTTCCTGATCAGAATGTGCAGGCTCTATATTTTAATATGGAAATAAGACTCTTAGTTATTGGGTATGCAGAAAACAAAAGCTGTGGCTCCGAGTGGTTTTCTGTCGCCTTCGGTCCAACAGACGGACGTTGATTTAGAACGCTGCTTTGTGGATCGGGACCCAGTGAATGAGTGTGGATATACACCGCTTTTAGCAATATTCCATCAGTGACACCAACTGTTTGAAATCTTATTAAATAATGGTGTCTGGTGAGGCACGAACTAGGAAGCAGAGAAACGCAAACAAGCAAGTAACACCGAAGGGGTCGTTGTTGACACGGGTACTACAGATATGTACCCAAGGTACGTTTTTGTACGCGGAAGTGTACGCTGAACAAAGACAGCATGCACAACGTGCCCGGTACCCTAAACGGAAGACGAGTCTACATTGTACTGAGATAGTGTAATCCCAAATATGTCATGTAATTTTGTTATATTTGATCATTTTTTAAATAGGATCACAAGTGTATCGCGTTTATTTAGCTTCCATTCGCATCATTACAAGTGACACTGTGCATTACGCAATATTTGTCACTGTGTGTTTTGTTTAAGTTTATAACACAATCCAATGCATCTTATACAATGGCATGACAGTTCGGTCTCGTCCCTAGATAAGTTTCTGTATTCCGATTTTGGTAGGGTACGTTTCTCTGTACAGGGTACATGTCTGTGGTACCCGCGCCGAAAACGACCCCCTTTAGCCCAAGTAATCATATAATTATGATATCTAGCTTTGGGACAAAGGCTGAATCTTAAGTGACATATTGGCGTGGCCCGTTCCTCTTAAATTCTGAAAATATATAAAGGAACACTTTCACGTGCTACCTTATTCGTTTCTATGAGTATATGTAGATGGCGTCATGGAAAAATATAATTGCGAAACAACTTAGGAATAGGCCAATACACAGCCTAGTAAGCAAAAAGCACCGCCATAGACATAGACACTGAGCATAGTGACGTGTGAGTGGGTATGGTTTTAAGCCGTTTTTAGCAATATTCCAGCAGGAGACAGCGGGAGACACCAGAAATAGGCATCACACACTGTACCCATGTGGAGAACGAGTGGAAGCATTAACCATTAGGCTACCCCAGAATTGTAGATGCCACACGATAGAAATGGCTAAGCCTTTCAAGATTTTTGCTACTTTTAGTTCACATAAGATCTAAATGTATTTTTCTTGATTGTATAAGGGTAACCACATCTCTGTAATTGATTTGGGGTCTCACAAATACAAAAAATGATAAATCGACACGTGTATAGTCACATTAAACAAATGTTAACAATCAGGATAAATTCTGGGGTTCGAACGCCTGGTCACAGAGGACTATGACAGATACAAGATAGACAGAAAACACTATTGGACTTTCCATAGTAGATTCATTATACACAAAGTAAAGCCTTGTTAATACAAACGACACTGTTCCAAAAATTATCCAACATAACAAATAAATTATTACAGAGTTTTCGACATGATTTAAAGAAGAAAACCTGCCATTTATAAAATCGACATCTATGTTTTCGAAACAAACACTGAACATACCAGGTTTTTAGCACAATAAACGTATTCAACTAACAATGGAATGTTTAGTTGTGAATGCAATGAATAGATATCATAAAAACGTACTAAATTTAGTCATGTGTACATATCCAGTAAAATATGTTATATTTTCGAAATATTAATCAAAATGAGAAAAGCACTTTTATCCAAAGGTTATGTAGTTGGTGTTGTGCAGTTATTTATCCAGATTATATCCTAATTAATTCCTTTAGCTCCTCATTACGTAACACATAAGATATCACTAATAAAGTATTCCTCTTTCAAACACTAAACAACTTAGGATGTTCAACTGGAAGTGTGTGATACACAGTCAGAATAAATGACTCATGATAGACGGTAACATCCACTGCTGTTGGCAATGTCTCTGCCCAGAATCACAGATGTTGCCACGTATTTTTAAAAACAACAAACGCGCCAACCACAATGCCAAAAGGGATGTTATTAAAACGTCCACGTGGCGCCACGTACAACTCCATCGACGTAATCGTCAGCGATCACCTCAATTACGACCACCTTATTCAAATGCGAGGTCACAGAAACAGGTATATAAAGGTGTGGAATATTGCAACATACATTCCAGGGGTTTGTTTCCTGTGACAGTGTGTCTAGCGTAAGTCGAATTCATTTTCTTTCATTAATTGTCTCTTCTGCAAATTGCTTGTGTTTTGCATCGTACAGATAAAATGATATGACGTCATCGAATCACGAAATAAGTTGATCCTTGTTCATGATATTAATCACTTAAACCCAAGCCTACAACTTAGATAAGGGACCTGTGGCAACAGGTTACTTTTGTAACTTAAGGAATAGATGTGAAATTGTACGCATAGATGACATTTGTGTGCAAGACGTACATGTGCCATCCTATGACGCCATTGGAATAAGAGGCGTCAGCAATGGGATAATCGGCGTTGGGCTAGTGTCACGTTTCCTGACGAATCAGTATGGCTTGTTTTCGTCACGATATGGCTGCAATATTGCCGGTGTGACGTTAAATATTAAGTCACTCACTCACTCCTGACGAATCGAAGATCACTTTCGATCTCCATGACCGGGTGTCCGAGAACATGACCGGGTGTCCATGACCGGATGTCCGAGAACAGCGGTGGGTTCATGGTGGAATTTTCCAGTGGCTGGGAGAATTACGCTCCAAAGAATAATCGCTGCAACAACTGTTTGGTCAACTGTTCATCTTTCTGATGTTAATGCACATTTTCGTCCAGCCAGTATTGTGGTCCAGCTCCGCCAACACCACAACGTCCATGCCATGGCCTACGGTCAGCAATGGCCATTCCTGAGCAGATCTGGGACGTCATTTACAGATGTGTTCTTCGGCGTCAAATATCCACCCACCACTCTCAGTCGTGAAGATCCGGGTTAGAATTGTTCTTCAGCAACTAATGTTTGTTGGAAGAGGCGACACATGTCATCGTATCACAACTGCGTAAATCGATGCTCACGATGTTGATCACTGGATTGTTTGGTCTAGACGCGAAAATTCCGCCACATAGCTGCAATATTGCTGAGTGCGGCGTTGAATAATAAACACTCTCACTGACCTTGGTGTTACCCTCGCTGGTGACATGAATCGCGTTGAATTTGGCCCACTCAGCGGGAGCGTAGTTCGGTGGTTTTAGCATGAATGTCCAGAGAATAGCATTTGTTGAATACACTTATGAAATGACATAATCATGGACATTGTTACTCAAACTGATTATCTGGTTTTGGAGGAGTCCGAGGTAATAATGTCACAAAAACAGCATTAAACTCGTGTCTTTTTCCAAACCTTTCAGAAAGGCCAGAAGAACAGTCACTATGAGGACCCAGACGCTTATGACCATGGCGGTAGTGCTAGTATTTGCCTGTTTGTGGCAAATGGGGGACGCCCTGCCTGGTAAGTTCAAAGTGTGTTTGTACATCTCCCAAGAAGGGTGTTTACGTGTAAATGGAAACAAAAGTAGTTCCGCGCGTCGATGCCTGTAAGACAATGCAAGAAAAGCTTTTAATTTCATCCAGTAATACTTCCTAAAAACTCAAATGTTGTCAAGTTTAAAATGGGCTGGCACTGCAAAGACGAAAACTTGGGTGTTTGGGATTTTTTGTGGGGGTGGATTGGAGGTGTCTGTATACGGGTTTTGGACAGAAAGACGATGATGAAATTAAGACTAAGGAAAAGTTGAGTGTCCAGAAAGTGTCTGGAAAAGCGTCATGTTTTTCAATGTTTTTTACAAATGGAAACTAACAAAAACACAGTCACTGTGGTACGTAATGCCCGCGTCTTTCCACAGTATGCGCTTTTTAACAATGAATGTGTGACAGCTTAGTGCACATGATGTACATGTTGATTGAACATTTTTCTTTTGCAACCATTTCTATGCAATAGCGATGAATCTACTTAAAGATAAAGACCTTTCCATGTTAAGTCAAACCATAATATCACAATTATAAGAATAAAACAATATTGCCTTCTTCCGATGAGAAGATCCGCCGATTTTCTGTTTTGTCACATTATTATTGTTTCTGTTTTTCGACGACTTATCATGATGAAAATGAAAGTCATTGTGTAAACTTATTGTGACCTGAGAAGTACACACCCTTAAATTTGGCTGCGGCCAGAGCAGCAAGGAAAGCGTTCCCCTTCACTCTAAGTTTTCCTGGACCGGTCTGGTCTGGTTTAATCAATGACAAAAAGTAGAATACAACCCACATAAAACAGTCGTTATTATGTCACTCTAACTTTTCGGTAATGATAGTTAAGAAGATCCAATATGCTGGCAAAGTCATGGATAACAATTTTCATGATATCAGCTTTTTGATTACGCTTCACTGCAAATGTAATATGGTCTATAGTTTAGCTGTTACTGTGCTTTGTCCATTCCTAAATACATTGCATTGCACTTGGAAGGGTGCCATGTAACTTTAGATAGTATCTTTGTAATGAATTAACACCTTACATACAACCGTCATTTAAACCGTCAATATTCCCAAATGGGCCAGTTCGACTGTTCACTTATGACGGCAACGCTATTTTCACGAATGTCAACATTTTCATTTCACTACCAAATCAATAAGAAGATGCTGCTATAAAGAGGACGATTACGTTTGTTACTGTGTCGACAAAAATTATGTAGTACACGAACAATTGAAAAGCATCCGATTAAACAAGACAAAACCTTTCCTCTTTATGTGATAAAATGATGTGCGAATGCACCTTTGTCACCCCTCGAACGACAAGCTTGGGTTACTTAAGATCAATTCTAACCTGGATCTTCACGGGTCTCAATAAAACAATTGTGATTGACAACGTCACCTTGCCATCAGGGTAATATTCTATTTTGGTGGTGGTTTCCTGAGATACCATATCTACGAGGGCAAACCTTCCACGATGGAATGTAAAGCCATGTTGCTTACTTGGCAATAACAGGTGTTGTAGATAGCTGTTCTACATACGTCACTGGGTCGCCTTGTTTTCGTGGTTATGAAATAGTTTCTTCTCGTTTTCTGACAGGCACGCCACCTGCCACGACATCATCTCTAGAACCACCATCAACAACAACAACAACAACAACAACAAGAAGTAGTGGTGATGACGGTGGCGATGGGAGTGATGACGGTGACGATGACGGTGACGATGACGGTGGCGATGACGGTGGCGATGACGGTGGCGATGACGGTGGCGATGGGAGTGATGACGGTGGCGATGACGGAGGTGATGATGGCAGTGATGACGGCGGTGATGATGGCAATGAATAGTGATCAAATGCAATAGACATGTTGCTGTAAAACTTGGCGGACTCGAGTTTCATGTAGACTAGCTTCCCTTGAAAACAAAATTATCGTTCAAGGTGATCTGATTTAAGGAGACATCAGTAAACACGTTAAAGCTCAAGTGAGCTCTTATTTATGAAACACATATACTTTGCACAACGGTGCCTCTTTCTACTGTTTACAAGGACGTGTTTCTGTCTGTTCAGAATTCTATCCTAAGTAACACACACTGTATTCTCGTCGTTGTCGTGGAATGACAATAAACACCTGACCGTCTTCTTAGTTTTGTTCACTCTGTTTATCTGGTTTATCTGAACGAGCTTTAAGCAAGATTCCAGCAGTGATGCACATATTTGAAATCGTATAAAAATAATAATTACCAACGACCAGGCCCGTGAAGACCCGGATTAGATTTAGTGACCTCTGCTTCTCATAAGAGGCGACTAACGTGATCGGGGGTTCAGGCTCGCTGAGATGCTTGACACATGTCATCGTATCCCAATTACGTAGATCGATGATCATGATGTTGATCGCTGGATTTTTGGTCCAGACTCGATTATTTACAGACAGCCGCCAGTTTAAATTTGAATAAAAACTATGGAATATGAATTCTTCTGTGGATTAAACGAGACTGACAATGCAGCAATGACTTGATATCTCTATTTATGCCCGAGAGCGGAAGGTCGCGGGTTCGATCCCCGACCGCGTCATACCAAAAGACGTTAAAATATGGTACTTGTTGGTCCCTGCCTGGCGTTCGGCATTAATTGGTACAACAAGGACTGGTCGGCTCGGAGTCAGTATAATGTGTCTGAGTTGGGTATTCATGCTTCACTGCGGCATGGTATCTCAGTGGGCTAGCACTATAAAACCAGCTTTAGTCTGGGCTAGTACAAGCAGCCGCACATAAACATACACACGCATGCACGTCGTCATGTGAGCGAAATATTCTCAAGCACGACGTTAAACCCAATTTCACCTCACCTCATCTATTTATGCCTGCTGTGACTACACAATGCCATATAAAAAGTGACCAAATGCATCATAGAAAGTGTAATCCCAAATATAACATATGATGCATATGCCTGCTGTCACACACTATGTCCGAGCTGACCCTGGCCTTTAAATAATGTTGTCGGGTGAATGACCTGAGAGAGACGCAACTAAGCAGTGCAGGAACGTTGATTCGTCTTTAAGATATCATGTACACTACTGGCTATAAGTTCAATCCCCTTACACACGTTGAGCATGTAACACGGGTGTGCAACGGGCGTGCAAAGCGTTTGAGTCCCGTGAGTAGTGTTAGGGTTACATTATTTAATTTGTATGAATTTTAAATCGGAAATATGCCAGAGTGAGTGGGTGAGTTTAGTTTTACGCCGCACTCAGCAATATCCCAGCTATATGGCGGCGGTCTGTAAATAATAGAGTCTGGACCAAACAATCCAGTGATCAACAGCATGAGCATCGATCTGCGCAATTGGGAACCGATGACATGTCTCAACCAAGTCAGCGAGCCTGACCACCCGATCCCGTTAGTCGCCTCTTACGGCAAGCATAGTCACCTTTTGTGGCAATCATGGGTTGCTGAAGACCTATTCTAGCCCGGATCTTAGCTGTTGTTGGTTCAGGTAGCCTTCTTGGGTGATGACACGGCAGACTTTTAGGACATTTAGGAATAAGTAGAGAGCTTATCACGTTTGGCTGCTAGAGCTATATAGGTCCAAGAGGGACCCTCCATGGTGGGCATGGTGGGCATGATGGACGAGCTGGCTAAGGCGCCAGGCTAGTGATCCAGCGAGCTTGAGCTGTCGGGATCGAGCCCACCTGTGACCGGATATAAAAAACCTTGAAATCAACTTTGTGTGTAGGCTCTTTCAGTGTTGTCACAACCCCTAGTGTACAGTACACAACCCTGTGCACTTAAAAGAACCCTCGAATCCGTTGGTATATGACAAGATGGTGGCCACATGAATACGTGCAAACACCTAGTATCGGATACAGCAACGTGCAAAGTACTGTGACTATGTGTCCCAGTCCATCCAGCTGTGAATGGGTACCTCGTAAAGACGAGAAAGCTGCAAAATCTCGGTGCGCCTTGTGCCTGCAAGATTTGTTTGCTCCCCGGCGAGTTGAGGTTGATAAGACGATGTGCCATTGAGATTGACATCCAATAATGGAGGGAAAAAATGTCAGCGCCTTGAGCATGTACCAGTTGCGTGGATATGTGCCCTATATAAATATCCTATCCTATGTAGGTGTTATCAGAAGGGCTTGACTCATTATTACTGGTAGTAATTGGTTTATTCAATAAAGGGGCCACAGGCCCATTATACAGTTACATGAGTCATATCATGAAAGTGGAAAATCTGGAGCGCCATATCACTGTACAAGATACATCAATAAACATACACTTAATGGGTTGTACAAGTTTTGTTGAGGTAATTGTTACGTTGTTTGAATGCAAGGAACAAAAACTTCGCTAAACGATTTAAAATACCTGAATCGTGTGATGTGCAAAGCAATACCAGTTTATCATAAGAAGGATGAGTACAATAGAACTCAGGCAAAATTGAATGTCTGAGATTATAGTAAAAAGGACATTCCAAACACATGTGATATTCTTTCTCAATTACAGGTGTAACACAAAATGGACATAATCTAGAATTTCTTGTCAGACCAGATTTTCTTCCAGACTCTATCATTACCTGATGGCCTGAACAGCGAAATATACTAAGAGCCTTACGATAAGCTGGTACATCCAGACAAGTTAAATACACCTCTCTCTCAAAAGAAAGTTTAATGTCAGAATATAAATTCAGTTTAGGATAGGAATGAATACGTGTAAACCAAGTTTATGTATCTACATCAATACATCTATTTCTAAAGGTTCCAATAAAAGATGAAAGGTCTAAGTCTAGTTGGTTTTCCCATACATATCCAAAACCATACTTGTCTAATAGCTGTTTTACTTGTAACGCCCAAGAAGGTATTCCAATTTCTGCTAGTCTATATTGATAAAGATAAGCATTTGATAAGATTATATTGTCATTCTGTTGAATCAACCGTACCCAAAAACTGATAATTCTTACAAATTGATTTACTTTCACTGAATAACGACCTAATTCACCACGAGCTAAAATATTTGGAACTCCTCTTGGAAGATACAATATTTCCTTCAAGAATTTATCATGTACATTAAGAATATCTTGAGAAGGATGGAAACCCCAAATTTCCGTAGCATACATCAATATAGGTAATATCTTAACATCGAAAAGTTTTAATAGCACATCTAATGGCAAATTAGTATACATATGGATTCCACTTTTTAAAGAAAACAAAGCTTTCAAAGCTTGCTGCGACAAAATATTTTAAGTTACAAACCAGCTTCCAGATGATGACAAATGAATACCAAGATATTTATAAGTGGGTACAATGTCAAGAGGTGAACCATCCAAACTGAAACGTTCATATTTGCGAAGTCGCCCGGCCTTCCTGAACACAATTATCTTACTTTTGTCAGTGTTTATTTTAAGTTTCCATCTATTACAATATAAAAGTAGTTTATCTAGACGTTTCTGTAACCCGTTGACAGTCATATCGAATAGAGCGATATCATCCGCAAAAAGCAAAATAAACAACTCTATGACACCTAAGTTGACACATCGCTGACCATCTGAACCCATGAAATCGACGATATCGTTAATAAAAAAAGAAAACAGAAAGGGAGACAACTGGCAGCCTTGGCGAACACCTGTTGAACACTCAAACAATGGAGTTTACCCATCATTAAGAGAAATACAAGCTTTGACATCTTCATACATATTCTTTAGAATCCTAAATATTCTACCTTTAACGTTCCCTGTCCAAAGTTTGAACAAGAGACTATATCGATACACCGAGTCGAATCCTGACTTTAAGTCTATAAATGCACAGAAAAAAACGCGATTTGTGCAATAAAATATATTTTTCAATCAAGACATTTATAATATATATGTTATCACTTGTACGAAAACCCTTCCGAAATCCAGCTTGTTCAGGTGATAGGAACTGTTCTTCCGATGCCCAATCATTTAACCTTCTACACAATATTTTGGAAAAAATCTTACCAGAAACCTCTAATAGATATATAGGTCTGTAGTTAGTAGGATCCGCTGCAATACCCTTTTTGTAATCGTGAATAATCGTGAATAATAAGTTCATTCTTTCGGGTAAAAACCGGTTGACAGGATCAAATTAAATAAAGTACATAGTAAATAAAGACACTTTTGTGGTGCATTCTTAAAAAAATTCAATCGGCATTCCAGAGTATCCTGGAGATTTGCCACACTGCATATCATTAATTGCATAACATATTTCCTGTAGCGTAATATCACTGTCTAGGTTATTGTATACAATAATCGTTTCATGTATCAGACGATCAGTTAATGTCCTTACAAAGTTCTCAACATAATCGTAAAAATCCTTCTCATCGGGTGTTTGATATGTACTACTAAACAGAGTTTTAAAATGAGTGGTCCATACTGGAGTGTCAATTGTGGTGGTCAAACGTGGGCGTTTGTTTCTGACAATATTCCAAAAACTTCGCATGTTCTTATTTAAGATGGCACTCGATAGATTATGGTTAAATGCATCAAACGATTGTGTCGCTTTAATTGCACATAACTGTTCCAGGCAACAACGTAACTTTGTTTGTCCCTATCAGAGTTCGAAGCATGAAATGCACGGAGATAACGTCTCGCTACTGCCCGTGCATGCCAACACTCTACATCATACCAGTTATGTCCCTTTAGAAGGCACAGTTCGACTGTCAATCAAACGTCTTTTACACGAGCTGGCACATGTTTCAATTGTCCTCTTGAACCCACGGTAACCTTGTTGCACGTCTCTCCTCTCCATTGGATCCGTCGTATCAGCAATATTTACTTGGTTCCAACAATCTAAATATTCTTGACGATAGTTCTCATCCCAAACATATCTCGTTTTGGGTGATAATTGAACGTTGTTTTCTGTGACGTCGCTTAGGTTAATGAACCTTTTTATTGAAAATGTGACTGGAAAATGTGATGATTCAATTTCCGAGAGAATATCAAAGTTTGTTATTAAATGAAATGTTGAGTCATGGCACAAAACATAATCAACGACACTTTTTCCCTCGTTCGTTGTACATGTAATTTTTCCAACATTCTTGTCACAGTGACACTTTCCATTACAAATTCTTAAACCTGTTTTCTTACAGAATTCTAACAATGCACGTCCACGTTTATTCACAAATG